CAGTCTTAGTATATAGTATAAAAAAATATTGTAAATATTTTCTAGAAAAAGGGCTCATTGTTATATATATATATATATGTTTAAGTTTAATGCGAGTGTTAAACTTAGTTATGTTTAGAAGCGATAGTTTATCGTAGGTTTGTTTACGTAACTTTGTATGAATCATACATTGTGTAGTTCCATTGTTGTGATTTGGTGCTTGTATTATATCAACATGATACTAGAACCTTCTAAGTTTTTTTCTTATTTTTTGGTTGAGTATTATTACATAATAATATCTTGTATTGTTTAGAAAGTTCTAGGTCTTGGTCAGGCTTTTTAAATACATATACAAAGTATAGTTTCAGTAAGTAAGACAAAGATAGTTAGCTAGATGGATAGATCTAAACTTAGTGATTGTGAGTTTAATAATAAAGACTATATAATGGCAAATTTTGAAGTGACATTATCAGAGTTTGTATTTTAACCACAGGGTAGAGAAGAATAACTGGTTTTGTCAGTTGTGTTCTAAAGTGACATTATCACAGATTGTATTGTAACAACTGAGTAGAGAAGAATAATTTGTCTTGTCAGTTGTATTTTTAAAGTAATTAAACAAACCTGTGTAGACTTTTGACTTGATGAGATGATTTTTTAAAGCTCTGAGTACAAATGTGGTAATTAACTGTATAACAAACATTTGTATATATGTTTAACTTGTTTGTTAATATATATTATTTTAAAACAAGTGGAATGTGTGTTGTTTGTTTATTGTTGAAGTTATTGCCAATAAGTCACAGGCACTTTTTGTAAAGAATCCAACCCACACATAGGTAAAAACCAGACTGTGATGTCTTTTAAATGTGTGATTCAAATTATGTAGATGATGTATAAAGTATTAGGAAGTATTAGGAAATCACATTCAGTCATTTAGTTAGGACAAATATTTATTATATATGGAACAAATCAATACACAGTTAACCTAAATAAGAAATCGTGTGACTTAATTTTAAGTCATGTTCTAACAATAAGTTCAGCACAGCTTATTTTTATGAGATAAGTGCTATAGATCCTTGTTATTAAATTAACCAACATTAAATTAAAAGTTTTTAAATCAAATCATAAAGGCTTCCATTTAAAAAATGTATCTGAATAAAGATGTATTCTAAACTGTTTACAGAAGGATGAAATTATAGCTATTTCATCTGTGATATAATTAAAGGTCAGCTGTTTGTTGAACTTACCAGTTGATCCAAATCATTTTATAGTGCTTCAACATTCTCGATACAGCTAGAAATACCCAAGAGTTTTTTGTCATAGTTCAATGACGAGGAACCCACTTTGAGACTAATATTGGTTGGAGACGGCTTAAATGGGTAATGAAGAAAAACTTTAATATAAGTTTAACATAACAGCAAATGTACAACGTTTCGACAAGGATTTGTCATCATCAGGTACAAGTAATTTACACTGACACAGATATATATGTATATACAGTATGGAACAAAGAGGTCACATGACCGGATACTGTTGTGAAACTTAGAAGAGGTATCTAGGCACCCTGGGGTTAGTTTAGAGTAGGGTTGTTTT